TTTTTTTTTGGTCCTTTTTTGGAGGGTAGCGGTGTTGGTGTTATGTTCTTCATGGGGATTCAACCTTTTAAAAAAGCCAAAGTACAGATATTAATATATATATTTACCCAATCTTCTGAGTGATTCTTTGAATTATTTGTAGGTTACTTCAAATACCTAGTACAATGTAAATGTTATATAAATAGTTGTTATGTTGACTAGGAAATAATGACAAGAAAATAAGTCTGTTTATGTTCAGTACAATTTTTCTTCAGTGGTTTTTGCTCTGCCATTAGTTGAGTCCATGGTTACAGAACCCATGGATACAAAGGGCCCATTTTATAGCGATGTATCTTAAACTCTGCACAGTTTTTAGTCATCATATGTACCAGCTATGATTATGTCTCTTCTTGGATCTACTTTGAGTTTCGTGATGGTATTGTTGAGGAAACTAACAGGCTTCAGATTGTATGTAGAAGATGGTCCTAAAGGTACCATCATCCAAGTTTAACTTTACAGTAAGAGCATAAGGTCTGCAATGAGATGGTTGTTGGCAACTTAAACCAAGTTGTCAAGAAAAAATACATATATATTTATACTTCTTTTAAATTTAATAAAGGAGAAAACTTGGACACTGATTATTAAAAAATATTGTAGTTGGTACTGGTACAAGGTAAATACATACATCAATGTAGCAGAATTGAGGTTTCAAAAATAAACATTTATGGTTAATTGATAGCTTTTATGAACAGTTTTGTTATTGTGCAGGATATTGTGTCCTTCAAATTTGAAATACTTAAATTGTAACATAGAATTAATAAATTTTGTTTATTCCATTGTTAGATAATAGTTCCATACTGTTCCATTTTTGTTGCCTAGCTTTCAAAAACCCTGGGAACATAACAGTGCCAGCACTACATAGTGTCAGACTTTAGAAGGTGATGCCCATGGGTAGTTGTTTATTTGAGGGGGAACTGTAGATTGCTGACTTAAAACAGTGTTGTTCTAGGAGGTATAGGTGGATGATATTTTAAGAGTTTTCCTGAATTGGGGATGTGGCTCAGTGGTAGGCCTGGGTTGAAGCCCCAGCACTACAAACAAACAAACAAAATCTTACCCAAAAGTTGTTATTTGACTTTTTTAAGTTCTTACAGATACTTTGTTAGGCCGTTTTTGTTATTTGGAACTAGTGTTTATTTTTATGCCCATGATAAGAACAACAACAAATCTGAGTTTGCCTACTTATGTAGTTGGTATGTGAAGGCTACTTGAATACTCATAGTTGTTTTAGGTTAGTTTTCCGTTGGGAGACTCAGATAGCTTTCCATTATGTTTATATTTTTACTTTTTGTGTCTTTTAAAGTCCTGCATTATTAATATTTTTAGTGTTAAGCTAACTACATAGATAATGTGTATTGAGTATACTTCTTATACCCCAAATTGTTTTCAAGTGCTAGTTGCCTTAAAGATAAGATTATCACCCTATGCACTGTTGATAGGAATGTAAATTGGCATTATTGTGGAAAACAATATGGAGGTCCCTCAATAAATGAATAATAGAATGGCCACATGACTCAGCAATTCCACTTCTGGGTATATACCCCCAAAAATTGAAAGCAAAGACCTAAAGAGAGATGTACAACCATGTTCATAACAGCATTATGCATAAGAGCCTAAGTTGGGAGCAGCCCAAGTATCCATTGATGCAAGAATGGAATATCACCACAGGGGTGAACTTTGAAGGTATCATGCTAAGTGAAATCAGCCAGTCAGAGATACACTGTATGATTCCATTTTTGAGGTCCTATGTTATTACAGAGAAAGAAAGTAGAAAGGAGGTTAACAGAAGCTAAAGGGAAGAGGAATACATCCAAATTGAATATGAAAAAAGTTGTAGAGATGGATATGGTGATGATATAACATATTAATGTGCTTAATCCTACTGAACTGTTTGCTTAACGATGGTTAAGATGATAAAAGCAACAATAACCACAAACCCATATTACTTAGTTGTAATTTTACTTCAGGTGGGAAAGGCAAATAATTGCTACTGAATTGTGGGGTGAGGAGTGAATGGAGTTGTAGGTGACACAGAAATGACAGAATATTGATAATTGTTAAATAGGGTGAAAATCCATAGTCCTTCATTGTTCTGTTCTATTTGTATATTCTTGAAGATTTCCCTAAGGCAAAAATTTAAAAACTACTAATTGGTCAATTCAGTTTAGAAGAGTAAATTTGTCCTTGTGGATTTACTGTGGCCATTCACCTTTTCCATAACTGATGGATGTGTCCCTGGAGGAGAGATGTGGACTGGTGCAGAATGGAGCAAGGGTGAGCCTTGGGACTGGAGGATGTTGCTTTCCAGTGTGCAGGCAGGGAAGGAGTACAGCCTCAAGAGGGAAGGGAGCTTCTCAGAAAGTCCTCTCGGCTGCCCTCCTTTGTGTTGGGACAGTTACTGATGGAACTAGGAAAATATGAATATGTTCAGTGGTCATTCATGTTGTTAATTTCTTATGATAGGCCCAAATGGTCATGCTTGTTGCCATGTTGTAGGGAAATTAAAAAAAAAAAGTCTCAGTTACTGACCATTGTGAGGTTAATGTGAGAAACACTGTGGTGTCCACTTCCTGGAGCATAAGCTTATCTTGGGCAACGCTGTATTAAGACTGTGGGATTCTCATCTGTGGCCTGGAGACAGGTACTTTTGTTTTCATCGTGGTTGGAATATGCCACCCACTTATAAGCTGTTCTAGTTGTTAGTCTAATAATTTCTTTTAGAGAACGCAGTTCCTTTCGATTAGCAGGACTGAGGCATCAAAGGCCTGTAAAACATCCTGATTTATTACCAAGAGAACCAGACATAGGAAGGTAGAAGTATTCTGATGTATAGACACTTTGAGCTTCAAATATACAGTCTGATCTTTGAGCCATTTTAAACAGAACATGAAAAGGATAAGAATTTTATCAGTAGCATTTCAATTTTAATAACATAGTAATAAAAAAAAGATGATTTGGCAATTTAGTACAGGAGTACGAGAGTACATTTTTATTTGCTTTGTGTAAAAATCCCTCTGTTTAACTGATGTTTTGGGCTAATTCAGCACCACTCAGATCATCCTGTGGCTACTGGGATAAAAAAGTCTGCCAAGAACTGAAATATCTACCCTTTGTTCTGTGTCCCCACACTTTTGATGATCCCTGTCAGTCTGCTGACATTTCATTTTGGAGTGGGTTTCTTTTAGTTTTGAGTGGTTTTGAAAGTGTGTTCATATAGTTACTGGTCATCTTTTTCCCCTTGGTGAATTATCTGTAGTTGTTGCACATATTTCATTGGGTGTTTGCCTTGTTTTGGTAAATTCTAAAAACTCTTGTCTTTATTAATATTGGCTACAAGTATTTTTCTCAGTTTGTTTTGTTTTTATGTATTTTTTGGTATGGTATTCTGCCTTAAAAAAAAAAAAACAATTATATCCTTTTTTGACTTCTAGGTTTAACATCATTGTTAAAGTCCTTCCTGTGCTTCAAAAGGTATTTTTGAACATTTTACCCATGTTTTCTTCAAGCATTTTTATTTATTTATTTATTTATTTATTTATTTTTACTTTAAATGTGCTGTGTTTGGAACATACTTTGGCTTAAGCAGTAGGGTTGTCTTCCAAATGGCTAGCTATTTGTTTCGATGCCAGTTTCTGAGCCCTCTGTCTTGCTCCCACAGAATCCTTAAATTTGAGGTTTTTCTGACTGGTGAATGTTGGGCTTAGCGTCGTATACAGATGGCAAGGTGAATGTTGAGTTAGTCTCTCACATAAGGTAAGAAAGCTTCTGCTTGGGTGATATGCCGAGGGAGGACTGTGTGTCAGCTGCGGCATGGGGCAGGGGCTAGCTCTGCTCATTTTCTGGAGAATGTGGTTGACATTGTATTCAGTGTATGTTGAAATAAGGATTGTTTTTATAGAAATTCCATTCTATTATTTGTCAAATTTAGAAGTAACTCATTAGAATTTCTTGATCTTGTCAGGTGGAAGACTTCATCACACCACTCCTTGTAAAACCCAATGGAGGTTTTGCTTACTGTAATTGAAGGCTGTGGGTAGAGATGTGAGCCGAAGGGGGTCTTCCAGACAGCATGGTCGCACTGCTTCACCACAGGCCCCTACCAGAGCGCAGCTGGGGAAAGCTCTGGAACTGAAACTTGTCTCGTGGAATTGCCACAGTATTTGTCATTGTGGACTGTGGCTCACTTTGAGCAAAACACAAAGTGGTTGGAACATAGTTTAGCTGTGACTGTAGCAGGGATGAGGCTAGTAGGTCTGAGGGGAGATGGGCGCTCTGGGAAGCACTTGGAGCCTCTAGTATGGCGGCAGTATGACCCAAGAAGAACTGTAGCTTAAACCGTAGGCTCTCTGTTGGTGAGGACATTGGGGTTTTGGAGTAAGCAAATGTTAAAGTAATGATGATGAACATTTATGGCAACTATTATGCCTACAAACATAAAAAAAAAGTGGTGTTGAAGATGTGGGGAAAAGGCACACTTACACACTGCTGGTGGGACTGCAAATTGGTGCAGCCAATATGGAAAGCAGTATGGAGATTCCTTGGAAAATTGGGAAGGGACCCACCATCTGACCCAGCTATCCCTCTCCTTGGTTTCCCAAAGGACTTAAAAACAGCATACTACAGGGACACAGCCACATCAATATTTATAGCAGCACAATTCACAATAGCTAATAGGAAAACTGTGGAACCAACCTAGATGCCATTCAGTAGATGAATGCATAAAAAAATGTGGCATATATGCACATTGGAATCATACTCCGCAATAAAAGAGAATAAAATCATGGCATTTGCAGGTAAATGGATGGAGTTAGAGAAGATAATGCGAAGTGAAGTTAGGCAATGCCCAAAAAACAAATGCCAAATGTTTGCTTTGATATAAGGGAGTTGATTCATAGTGGGCTAGGGAGAGGGAGCATGGGAGGAATAGACAAACTCTAGATAGGGCAGAGGGGTGGGAGGGGAAGGAAGGGGGCAGGGGATAATTAATGATGGTTGAATGTGATGATCATTATTAGCCAAAGTACATGTATGAAGATACAAATTGGTATGACTATACTGTGTATACAACCAGAGATATGAAAAATTGAGCTTTATATATGTACTAAGAATTGTAATGCATTCCGACGTTATATATAAATAAAAATAAATAAAAAAGCTTGAAGTAGAAAAAGTCGTGTTAAGGCCTACAGAGGTAACATACCTGCCCTTTTTACTTCATTACATTTTCTCAAAAATGTACTGCAGACAGAAAGGGCTCAGCGAGCACTTGGTGAAGGAAGAGGAATTGGATGTTTGCTTTAAATAAAACCAGTATAGTTTCAAATTTTCCTTGCTTAAAATTTGAGTATATCGGAGTGTAAAACTTGTAGAATCTCCACAAGAATATCATTAGGAAATGAACACCTCAAGCTCTGATTTGATTAAAACCATGAGATGCTCAGAACCTAGATAGGATTCCTCACAGTTCTTCATCATTTTAGATACTTAAGTATAAATTACAGTATATTAATTTAAAGCACAGTTCCTGAGATTTATGACTTCAAAGTTGAAACATATGGCTTTGTAATATTTGTTTAGATACTGAAATTAGTTGGACTCCCTAAAAAAATTCTGGAAGAAAAACTAACTTACAAATGTGTTTATTACATTGAAGATGGGGCCAAATTGAATCAGGAGCATAAATTTGATGCTTTATAACAATGTGTTATATCCTGGCAAAATTAAAGAATTTCATTGGTATACATAAACTCAGCAGAGAAATGAATAATAATCAGTGTTTATGAATTATAATTAATGGATATATGTGAATGATATAAAAATCTATAAGATATTTGTCTTCATTTTACTCTACTTAGGGCCAATTCTTTAAGTGTAACTTTGGTAGAAGAATCTTTGAGTTTAAATTAGGTTTTCGTTTGAATGGAATACTGTAGTAGTAAGTGATTTTTGAAAGTTCTTGGCTGATTTAACCTTTCAAAATAGCCTGAGGCATTTTGTTTGGGATCAAAACTACCAGCATTCTCCAAATAAGGAGTTAACGTTCAGGAGTAATAATAGGATTTGAAAACATAAACTTGGCACCAAAGAGGTCCCTTATCGACAGCATAAAGGTTCAGGGTTCTCGGTGGACTTTGCTTTCAGAGTCTACAGACTGTCGTGTTTAGGCTCACAAAGGTAACATGCCTGCCCTTTTGCCTTCCTACCTCTGGTGGAAACAGCTCACCTGGTAGCTGATACGTGAGGCACACAGTTGTATGCGGACACCAGGGCTGCAGTCTTGCAGGCCAGGTCGGAGTCCCCCATCTGTTGTGCTGCATTTGACTTGTAGCACTTGTTTCCTATTGGTGAATGAGTGAGTGTCTTTCTTTGGATTATTGCAGAAGCAGGTTAATTATCACACACTTTGGAGCATTGCTATTGGAACTGGAATTCTGAATACACAAAAACATGTTTCTTCAGATCATGTATTTGGTATGGCTCAGTGCTGTACTTTCTTGACTTGGTTTGCATCTATAGGAGAAGAGTGAAATTGCTGTTTTAACTTCATTACCTTCATTAGTGATATTGTTATATTTGACTATAAAAAATAAATGTGCCATAATCCCAGGAGGTGAATAAAATACTGCTCTAGCTTTATGGACCCAACTTGAAATTAAATTATCATTATTATTCCCAACAGCCAGCAGGATAAAAGGGACATCTTTCCATTTAAAATAGGATTGTGACTGTGGAATTATGTATATTTTCATTTTTCTGGGATAAAAAATGGCTTCCGATATTTTATAATTTAGTGTCATGTTAGAAATTTCATTTCATGATCATTTGTTCATTCACATGTATTTTTATTTTTAGCTCTAAGCGAAAGACATGAGGCCTCAGCCTGAAATGAGGTGTGGTTTTGAGGTCATCCGATTTCTGGCTAGAAGTGTGCGGTCGCCTCGTCCTGAAACCACTCCACACAGAATGGTAATGGCAAAACCTGAAAGAGAGAGAGGGGCCTTCACTCTTCTATGTCTGTTCCCTGTCCCACTTCCTTCCTAAGACTTAACAATCTTTAAAGGTAGGGATAAAGGGCATTAAATAACATACTGACATATCCTAGCTAAACTGGTTCAAAATTTTAATAGTAAGATTAACATCATAAATCCCCATGCTAATCAAACCTTTTGGAGTTGTTTAAACATATTTTTTTAAGTGAGATTTTGAGCTACTTAAATAGCAGAAAAATATTTACCACATGAAAATAATCTGAGTCAGTAGGAATTTATGGATTGAAAAAAGTTTTTTTCTTTGAAAACCAGTAGGGTTTTCTCTTAAACATAAGCTGATCTTGTCTCAATAAAATTTTCAGACTCGAAAATATGGATTCTTGCCATAATGCTCTTTTCCTGTGTAAGAATATTGATGTCTTAAGCATGGGTGTATGTTTGTTTTTACTTTACAAATCATAAAGTGATCATTGAGAATGTTAGTTATGTCAGTTAACTTTGCTTTAATTATTTTACATATATCCATAATTGTTTTAATTAATACAGATTTAAAATGATACCCTTTATAGTTGAAGGTAGTAAACGTTTTTTTTTTGTTATGGTAAAACTTACTTGGGGCATGTCTTCTCTTAAATTATTAAGTCTATTCTGAATGCCAGTGTTCTGTTAAGTACATTAAGGTAGCAGTGCTTACAAAACCAGCACTAGGTGTAACTTTTTAGGAGTAGAATTTCAATAAGGTTCTTTGCTCAAATTCAGATTTTATACTGAGCCATTAGTACAGATGGGGGTTCTTTATTTTATTTCATTTCCTGTATTACATGTAACAACATTGATAGCAAAATAGCATCACAAATTGACTTCTGTTTACTCTAAATTGTGCATTTGTTTAACTAGATGAGATGTTGAGAAAATTAAATTTTGTCCCTGTCTGAAGGGCTATACAGAAGGCAAATTCTAAATTCTGTTCAGACAGTATTTTTATTTCTTAAAAAGTCATGTTTATTTTCATGCTTTCTTCTTAGAGGTTGTCACTATAGTTGTGTACATTACCTCATTACTCCACAGTATTTTCTTACTTCCCCTAATCCTGAATGTTGAGTATGACTTAAAATTTAGGAAATATGTCCTGTTTCTTCATGTATGTGACTTGCTATAATGATAGGGAGAATTGTTCACATGCACGAGAAAAAACTGTTGGGTGTTCAGCCACAGAAGCCTGGGTGCTGTTGGGTTACCTAGGAGTGCTCTCAGCTTGTGTTCATGGGCCAGCCTTGCCTTCTTCTAAAGAAAGTTCTTTGTTTTATCGTCACTCCTGTAGTTACCTACTTCTCCTGGACATATGAACTCTGAACTCTTGGTTTTCTGTAGGTGGAAGCTGATCTAAGTACTTTTCTCTTTCTTTTTTTTTTTGGTATTAGGGATTGAACCTAGGGGCCGTCTGCTACTGAGCTAATACCTGTTTTTATTTTTTATTTTGAGACTCTGTAAGTTGCCCAGGCTGGCCTCAAACTTGCAGTCCTCCAACTTGCAGTCCTCCTGTTTCAGCCTCCTGAGTCACTGGGATTGTACAGTCAGGCCCACCACACCCAGTAGTAGCATGGTCTTTAAGCCTACAGTAGAAGAGTTTTTCATATGATTTATTTTTCTGTATTAATAGTGTCTTAATAAGAAACAATTACTGCTGTCTATCTTTTTTGGAAATTCTGATTTTTTTCTATTTACCCAAAGTTTTTTCCTTTTTCATAAAAAGTCTTAACTAGATTGGACCTTTTTGAGGCTAGAAGAATATTGAAGAACATCTTTCTTATTTCAATACTAACCACTGTTATTGGCAAAAAAAAAAAAGTAGTTTCTAACAACATGAATTATATAAGAATGAAATCTATAATTTAAGTATCTGGATGTCTTTCACCATAATAGCTTTTAAAAGAAAGTAAAGATAGAACTAATGCCACTTTAAAGCCTGAAATTGTAAATGTGAAAAATCTTTGACCAAGTAAATACTAGATAAATAATTAGTGTGTATGCATATAGTTTAATATTTGCTGTACATAAACTTACTAATATTAGATTTAAAAGGTTCTAAGTGTAAAATGAGAAAAAGCATTAACATTAAATGTTTCAAAAATTATAAAAGTAAGTACCTTTCTGAGAAAATCTTTTCCTTTGACACTGTTTAATTTTTTTCCCTTTTTTGTTTTTTAGGTTTGCAATTTTTTTTGGTGATGGCATGTTCAGAATCTTGGATCCTTAAGTTGACCATATTGGAAATACTTAGGAACCTTGGAAGTTAATGTTGTTTTTGAATCTATAAATGACTTACTAGGTGAATTAGTAGATTTAATAAAAATATATAAAAGAAGTTCGTTCCTGTAAGTCGGCCTGATGTCTCATACTCTGGAGATAGTGGTCTTTTCTCAGCCTGGGGCGTCATGGGCCTCCTGTTTTCCCAGGCAGTTTATGGCATTCCTCACACAACTGTTGGGTTAGCTTGTTTTCTTTTGCATCTATCTGCCTTGCAGCAGGAAGTTACTTAGATCAGAGATAATTATTGATAAAGGATAAAAAAGAGAAAAAAGAAGTGAAATGACAATCCTAAAAGTAGTAATCATAAAATTTAAACCTGAAATTGTCCCAGAATGGTCAAGAATACACAGATGTATCCAAGTTATTCACAGAAACATTTCTGGCAGATGCTGCCAATTTGCAATATTAGCATCGCGTAACGAGGAGGGAAAAGAGCTATGGTTTTTCACCTCCTCCCTTTCACTTGTCAGGTGAATGAATTAGTAGAAAGCAAAGTGGCTGAAAGGTAGGCAATGTAAGTTCAAAGGAAAAAGAAAAACAACTGAATCTTCAGGGAGGATTAGTCCCCCTTAAGGCTTCCTTTCAGGGACCCATGGAACACATTTCCTGTTTCCAGCTGTGGACCCAGGTGTGGACACGGGTATTCTTGGGGCAGATGGAGAACTGTTGCTGGGTGCCATTCTTGGTGGTTGTCTTTTACCAACTTCTCCTATTCCTGCTGGGATTAAAGGACTCTGGGAATGTTCTGGAACAGTAACTTTGTCAGGTTTTCTTAAGATTTCTTTTAGAAGGCTTTTAGAAGCTAAAGGGCTTATCCATTACTGTTCCCCTCCCCGCCTTTGTTTTGCTTTGTTATAAGGAAAATTGACTGATGTATATTTAATAGAAGGTACATTGAGAACATTAGTTTTTTTTAAAAGCCACATTACGTTTTAATATAAAACAACTGGCATTTTAAAATCTCTTCATCTGTGATACTTTTGTCAATCGAGGTGTTTCCTCTTAGTCAATTCTAGCCACACTATTGACTGGGCTTCGGCATTTGATATACTTGGAAAGAATTAGCCAGGCTAGAAAATCATGGTCCCCACTGGAATGAATATTTTAAAAACCTTCTTAAATTCTGAAAACTGTGACTACAGATGAAAGAGACCCAAGAGGGTGAAAAAATTAAGAGCCTGACAATAAAGAGTGTGGGTAGGGCCAGGGTAGATTTTGTGGAGGTGACCTAGAGTGCACTGGAGGAGGAGGTCTTGTGGCGAGGTGGGGCTGGGGTGGCGGGGGCAGGGGCCATCCTCTGTTCTTCAGGTAGCTCCACTAGTGTGCTGCAGTATTGTAAGGATAGTGATATGGAAATAAACAGGTGCATTACCTAACAGTGAGTTTGATTTTGTTCTGGTGTGTTCCAAATAGTGATGTGACTCAAAAGATTAGCTTAACTTCAAGTAAATATCATAAATATTAAAGAAAATGTTTCTAGTTAAGTTCCTGTTGTACAACTTAATAAAATAGACAACTAAGCATAGAGGAGAACGAAGCCATGTAAATAGTTGTGGTTGATGGTTGCTTCCTAGAAACTTAATAAAACATTCAGTTTTATGATTCACATTTTAGTATTCAGATTTTAGGTTGACCTCATTGTGCTATGGGAGTAGTATAGTTGTCCATGGAAGTCCGCTTCCTGGTCACTGCCCTCCACAGCTTGCACATTCCTTGGCAGTTCAGAGATCTGACTCCGTTTGCCCAAGGACAAACAAAACTCTACTATGTGCGTAGGAAGCTAGAGAAAGTGAGCAGAAGCAATGGCCCTGTGCATTGGAAGTGTTAGACCAGCTCCTCCTGGAAATCTGAAAGCATGACTCCTGTTTTAGTCAGTCTTTTCTCCTCTGTGACCAAAAGACATGAAAAAAACAATTCTAGAGAGGGAAGGATTTATTTGGTAATCACAGTTTCAGAGGTCTCAGTCCATAGATGGCCAGCTGTTAGCCAGAGGTGAGGCAGAACATCAAGGTGGAAGGGCCTGGTGAGGAAGGCAGCTCAGGACATGATAATCAGGGTGACTTACCAGGGACAAAGTATAAACCCCAAAGGCATGCCCCCTGTGACTCCCCTCAGCCAGCCACACCCTACCTGCCTACAGTTCCCACCCAGTGAGTCCAGTCAGGTGGATCAGTGCCTGATCAGGGTAAGGCTCTCACAACCCAGTCATTCCACCTCTCAGTTTCCTGAACTCTGGGGGACACCTCGCATCCTAATCTTGGCTCTTTTCCCTGAGACTGCAGCACGGACATGGCATTTTGTGTGGTTCCTGTCCATGCAGGACATACCTTTGACTGCCTGTCAGGAAGCCCTGATCTGAAAGATTGTCCTCCCTTTACTTCTGCCCTTGCTTCAATTTTGCTCTCTCCCACTGTCAGTAGTTCTCTGTCACCTTGGAGTGGGATGTCTACCCTGGAAGGATGTCGATTGCCTCTCCAAACAGCTCCTGCTCTGAGTTGAGAACTTCATAAAGAAATAGACCAGAACTCTGCAGAGGCTGCCCCCATTTAGGCATGTACAAACTAGAGCCCAAGGCTTATACATAGTGATGCCTCTTGCTGGAGAAGGTTTTGTTTCACGATAAGTGAAATATTGTTTTTAAAATGAGCATGCTTTTTTTCCCTAAAAATTCTGGTTATTATGAATTCTTTCTCCCTAAGTGTGAATTTTTCTCATATCTTGGGTGTAAAATGTGTACTTGAAGCTATAATAGTTGCTAGAAATTTGAGATTCATTGTTTTGTGACTTTTAAATTTGCAGCACATTTTCAGGAAAATAGTCAAGGTTTCCAGATTCCATTTTATTCCTTTCAGATTTTGTGAATGTCTGATTATCTCTGAATTTTATTAATTCATTTATAAGTTTAGGAAAGACTATCTTCAGTTAGAAAAGTATTTCAACACAAAGGTCCATTTGAACGGCTCCACAGTGAAATCACAGACCATCTGCTTGGTATGTCATTCACGGGACTTTCCTGCAAAATTCAGCTTCACTCAGAAGGTCATCCTTGGAAAACGAAGAAGTCTGAAGAGTCTCTGCTCTTGGGACTAAGTGAACAGAAGGGCGTGTGTCCTCAGGGTAACAGTGCAACATATCCTGGAAGCATCTTGGACCGCATCGCTGTTGGTACCTGAGGCAAGACTTGACCTTCGTTTACGAATTGGACCTACAAGGTGTAAGCTGATCTATATAACATAGATTTAATGTACGCAAAATACAACCTTCACCCCAAAACATTTCTGTCAGTACAGTCTGTTGTTAATAACCCACACTGGTAGAGGGGAGCCTGGATCAGACAACTTAACTGAAGTCAGACAACATTCAGGATTTGAAGGTATTTTTGTAGTTCATTTTAGCATACAGTGTTTGGGATTCTACACATGTGCCTTACAATTTTCTGTCCCCAGAGAGAGGGACCTGAGAGAGGAGCTCGAATTGATCCATGCTTCAGATACCCATTTTACTGGGGAGAAAACATCAAGCACAAGATTCTAAAATTGGGTGGAGTCCTGTGACATTTCTCCTGCTTACACTTTCCAAGTAAATTTATTACATTTACTTCTAGCTTTTCAGAATGATGCCCAGTTTTAGTCACTGCCTTAAGACCATCCAGGTCAGTCTTCCCTCCTGTGGTCAGGTGTTATTCTGCTGAAGATGAGAGTTTTCAGCTGTTTCATTGTGAGAATGCGCCTACTGCCTTTTATTCTACCTCCCTTCCTATGGGGAGTAGACTTGTTCTAGTCATAGGTGTCTTTAGCCTCTAAGGTTTGCCTGTAATAATTCATGGATTCTAAATGTGGCCTTTTGGTTGTGCTGTTGAGGTGGTCTCTACGGGACAATTGCTCTTCTCTGGGCATGGCTCGGGGTGGTTTCCAGCCTTTCCTTCCAACCACTGCATTCTCCTCAGGCTAGGAGTGGGTCTTAGCACGCCCCAGGGGTGGGAGGATGCAGAGCGACTCTGGAAGCTGGCTAGCTCCTCCATCAGTTAAGGAGATAGCTGAAGAAAGCCACCTGTTTACCTCAGGTGCTATTAAAAACACATGTGCAGAGAAGGCCACGGTTTTAGGCCCACATGAACCCACATTGAATTTGCATTGTCTGTTCAGGTGTGTCTTACTTTAAAACAATTACAATAATAACAACCCTTTAAAAAAAATTTCACATACCACTGATTAAGATACTGAATTTTTTCTTGTAGTTTTCAGAAACATTGCAGATGTGTTTTGTGTAAGAGAATATATTGTATATAATAATTTTCTGACTCTTGCTCTAATAAAAATTAAGTTGTCTAATTATTCAAAACCTAATAGTTTTACTTTTGAGAAAATTTTAAAGCATGACTATTTTTACTTTTCATTCTCAGAAGCTTGTATGTGTGGTGTGCATGCGTCACATAATCACACCCCTCTTTTCTCCAGTGAGAGTCTCTGAACTGTTCTGAGCACTGTATAGTAGGGGGACCCCAAGGCATATCAGGCTTTTCTGTGTGAGTAGCAGAAACTTTGTTCTAATGAAGTAGCTTGTACTTGAGTTTTAATAAGGACCTTTTTTGTTTAAAATATGCACACGAAGTAAAGGAAAGGAAATGGACAAAAACATCTACAAATAAGTCAATCTAAATCAGGGTCTGGAGCTAGTCTCCCTAAAGTTAACAGTGCTAGTGAGTCAGTAGGCATGGCAGGGACGGGGGTGGGGATGGGGGCTTCCTTCTGGAATCAGCAGCGGTGTGGGCAGTGTGTTCGCTGTGTGCTGTGTCTGAAGCCAACGTCAGGAGACCTTGGCTACTGAAAGTTCACCCCGTAGCTCTGGCATAATTGGTGGTGGTGGTGGTGGTGGAGTGTCCCTTTGCAGTAAAACAGGGACACGGTAGGGACTTCAGATGTTATTTTCAATAGAAAAATTCCTTTGTACTTTATGCCCTTTTCTTAGCTATATGTCCTCATTTTGTAAAATTAAGTTTATAGTCCTGAGTTCTCTAAAGGTACTTTTAAATTATTTTATTGGTCTGTAAAGTCAAAAAGCTGAGCACAACTCTTTTCTTGGAACTATAAATATTAGCATGTTGAAGTCTTGGTTCTCCTCAAGGACCTATTAATTTTTGTTTACCCCATAACCCATACTCATAGGACACTAGTTAGAGAGTCTGAGAACAGTTTGTCAAGACAATTACTTCAGCCCTGCTGTATATTGGGAGTCATGGTTTTAAAAATCTGACATGGTAGCCGTTAAAAGGACAACTAGCACTATTCTGTTTCTGTCAACTCTTGTCCAGAGACTTCCTATAAATCTCTCAGATTACCAGTATTTATGCAAATATGCACTACAATACAGACTTCTAGGAAATCACTTATACTACCTTGCTGATAATTTTCTGACCTGCAAAATAGCCATCAACCTATAAAAAAGTTGTACAACAATCAATGACCAAAAATGATGCAGTGGTTATAATTTGTATCATTTTTATTTCTGCTCATCTATAATACCAAGTTTAAGACTAACTCTAGATATCATTGTCTTGTGTGACTAGACCACTTGTATCACTTAGCTTAAAGAGCTGGGCAAAAAGCCTCTGAAGGGAGGAGATGTCAGGGATGAATCTGTGATAGGTTCGAGTGATGTGGTCACCTTCATCTTCCCCATGGAAAGACATTTTCTAGAAATATTTAAATAATAACCAGTTTTCATATCTTGTCCACTTAGGGCAAGCCAGTGCTTATATGATTTGTCATTGTTCTTATATATGATTTGTCAAGGAGTGAAGACATTGGGATTTTTTTCCTTGGGTTTCTCAAGAGTAGGGTTGGTGTCCTTCCTAAGTGCTTGTGGGCAGGACATTGAAAGGAAGTCTGTGGTCCCTAGTCTGGTGTACCTCCCTTTCCTCTGGGATGTTGCTCAGTAGGGACAGCTTGCCCTATTCTTTGCTGTTTCCTTAGAGACTTCTTAGGAGTCCCAACAGTGGATTATTAAACCCTGGACTATGGGTAATTGGGCAGAAGCCTGCTTCCTGTGTTCACTGGGACTTGAGAGTAAGAATGAAATTGCTAAATAAGATGAAATTGGCTGGAGGGTATTTGAAACTCCATGTGCAGGTGACTCCCCATCCTTTCTTATGGGTGGAGGAATATCTGTGGGGGCTTTTGAGTGTCACAATACTTGAAGGCAGAGTTTGCCATTAAAATTGGATTTGGATGAAATATTTTGAAATTTCTCAATTTTGCAGCAGAGGAAGATGATAAATTGATACATATTGACATAGCCAGAAACGATGATCCTTGTGGAGTCTGGGAAGAGGTTCTGCTGGGTCTTGATGACACAGCTATAAGCAGGCGTCTCAGTCTTTTCTCCTTCCAATATCTCTGTCTTGTTCCAAAGCAAATTGTATTTTTGGTTAAATGACCTCTGAGGTTTCCCCTAGAAATTGGGTTTTCCTTTAGCTCTTGATTGGTTCTCAGTGGCCTGGTAGGCACCGTGTCAGCTTAGAAATTCATGTCACAGAATGGATTATTATGCAATTTTAAGAGCCCCATTTGTGGAGTCTTCTGGAGCATATTAAAATATTGAAGACATTGTAGGATGGTTTTTCTGCTTTGAGAAATGAGAAAGTACTTAATGACTGGGCCCAGTGTAGGCTTAAAGTGCAACTCTGGGCTTGCTTGGGCTACATCCCCAGTTCCTGTTTGGCCTGATTCAACAGGTCTCTGGCTGAGTGGCAAGACAGAATTTCTGAGCAGTTCAATTTCTTGATGATCTACAAAGTTTAAGGCAGCTATTGGAGCATTGCTTTATTTCCCGTACATATATATATATTTTTAAATAAAAACGTTTCTCCAGAATATTACTAAACATTTTCTCCCTTCGATCTCTCAATAACTGTTTTCCCAAAGTACAGATGAATTCTTTTTCTTGTAAAGGTGATCTGCTTTGTACAGTTTTCAAATGATGTGGAAAAATAAAAAGAACTAAGTTTACTGCCTCACTACTGTTACTACTCCAGTCCTCACCATTGTACACTGCTTTGCTGTCAGTGGCTTGCGGTGCACATTGTCCATGCTAACAGCATCCTTTCAATGGCTGTGCTGTGTGGATGGTACAACTCCCTATTGCTGGAAATTAAGTGGTTTACAATTTCTGTTATTTGGGTTCTTTCCAGTTTTTGAGTCTTAAAAACTCAGTTTCAATGACTATCCTTCTGTATAATTTCTACACTCACCCAATTATCTCCTTGGTATAAATTATAGACTCTTCAAAAATTGGGATGTCTATATCTGAGATGCACAATACTGGGAATTAGTTCTGTGAGGTGATGTCTTTGAGCATTTTGTGTGTGTGCTCAAATCACTCAAGCAGCAGCCTCTCCCTTCAGGTCTACATGGTATATTGCAGGATGGGTGTGGAGGATGGATGGCAGCCTTTCCTGCACCACTTGCCCCAGTACTTGTTGCAGATAAAGGTCATCTGCAGCCAGGTATTAGGTACTGACTCCAAGACTAATGACCAAGATTTAGAGTCTAAAATGATGAGTGCGAGTCATAGGAAACAGAAAACAGAACTTTCTGGCTTCCTCCCATGAAACTACTTTGATTCCCAATTCTACTTGTCTAATTAGGCAGATCAAAGAGACACGTATTTTGGAGAAGTGGAAGTTCTGGTGCATTTCTCAGTCTAGCCAGTCTTAACAGAGGGCCAGATGTAAACGTCAATTCATTCTCGTTGCATGAGGGAAGATACCTTCTGGAAGGTGTCTGATTGGATCTGCACACTTAGGGTTGCTTGGTGTCTTCTACCCTTGTGTTTGCCTCAGCCACTCTTGGGTCTTAAGATCTCTGGATGGTTTCTAGACTAAATCGCTGGCCACTGAAAGTGAGTAGAACCCAAAGCCTTGTAAGGACTCCATGTCCCACTGTGGAAGGCTTGGCTTCAGTTGAAGTCAGTAATTCTATTCTCCATAAAAATGAGCTCCACTTGAAAACTAGCTATACCCATTCCTCCTCCACCCTGCCCCCTCCACCCTCCTCCCCCCCCCCCCCCCCCACTGCCTTTACATTTGTTGCTCACAAGCCTTGCTCCCTGGTGTCCCTTGTACCTCTGAAATGCTGAAACGTCCTCAGAGAAACATTCTCTGACCAACCCATGTGAGGTAGCACCTCTGGCACTATCTCTGTTTCCTTGTAGCTGTCACAACCTGGTCACAACCTGACATACATTTGTCCTCTGCACTAAAATATAAGCTCAGAGAAGGCAGGTTCTTTTTTTAGTTTGTGGCTATTTCCTCAAGACCTAGAGAAATCCCTGATGTTACTCATTGAGTCTCTATTACTTGACTACGGATCAAGTCCAATGCCTCCAGCCGAAGAATTGTGAAGAAACTTGAGATTTTAGAGGATCTGGATTTGCAGGAGAGCAGCACCTACCTCTGGCCAGGGAGGGGCTGCCCTGTCCATCAGTGCCAGGCCTCCCTCTCTGTCCTCTGTCTGAAGCCAGAGCCTAAAATTCCCCATTTGGATGTTAACATGTGATGGTGAGGAACATTGTGTAAGCATTTCTGGGGACTGGTCCAGTTGACATTTGTGGAGTAACAGCCACGGTGCTGGGCATTATGTGGGGAACCAGCGTCACAGAAGTCGCCTGGTCAGAGTTGCCAAGCTGATGCCTCCTTGAAGTGAGAATGTAGGGGACAGGATTGCCCAGCTGCAACCCCCAGGCCAGACACAGGAGCTCTGAGGGAGGGAAGCTGTGTTCATTGGGACAGAGTCATGTGGAGCCTGGCTGCTTGTGGGGAGGCATCAGCCTGGGTTGTGCTCCTGATCTTGGGTAGAGGAGGGCAGAGAAAGGAGAAGTGAACCCACCTAAGGGTGCTTGGGAGCCCCCAGAGCTCTGAAAGGAGGAGGGAACTCAGCCCCACTAGTAAGATCTCATGATTCCTCGTTCTACTGTAGACCTCTGTAGTCTCAATTCAGAACTTAATGTATATTTGTGGGGAATAGTCCAGAAAGTTCCAAGACCCAGAAAGCCTATTGAAAACCAACTTTTAAAACAACAAAATTTGTATTTTTTATCTTTTTCCCTCCCTTTTGTAAGATGAGAGACAAAAGAAGAGACAGAATAGCTCCTGTTTCTCTAAGAATATGAATAGACTAAAAGGAAACAGGATTCCTAAGGGGATCTCACTTATGCAAGCAATACATTATTCAAAAATAAATTCTTCAAATACTCCAAAGAGGTCCCTTGAACTTTTCTGTAAGGAATGAATATTTAATTGAAAACAGAAGCATAGTGCAAACATGCATGAACATGCTATCCTAACCTATGGAGACAGCTTTCCGGCCTAGTTCTGATGAGATTTGATTTCTGTCCTAGCTGAAATTACCAAAATGTCGTGCTACAGTGTGCTGACACAGAAGGTTCTGAGCAAGATGCACACACGACATTAGTAGCATCAGGAAAAACCCTGATGACAGTAGGACCTCACGGTTATGCTGTCCATTGGGTCCTATCGCTTATGCACCAGCTCTTAGAAATCATGCTACAGGGATTGACAGATTCCTCCTGCCCAGTCTTCACATTGTCACCTGGGAATTTAGTTCAGTTGCAGATTCTGATTTGGTCATTCCTCCTTTAACCCCCTTGAAGGGAAGCCCCACTGCTGCTCCACCGGCTGTGTGGCAGTGGTGGCAAGTCCCAGCTTGCCAAGGCCTTGGGCATGCATAGATTTCATGGAAACTTTGAGACTGCCCTGGGAGTTGGGCAGTGCTGGTGTGACCTACTTTTACCCATTACAAAATCAGCGAGGCAGATGGCCAGAGTGTGTGCTAGGATCCAGAGTTCGACTCGTGGAGTGCTTACGTTGAACAAGTTCTGACCTGGTTGTTGCATCATGGGGCAGGGGTGAAACTAAAATGGTAGTTTTGGAAAAGCAAAGGGAAAATACAGAAATATTCTATTATTAGAATTGTGTCTTTTGAGGTTTTAAAAGTAAGAGCTAGTGGGCTAAGGACTTGTAAAGTTTGCACGGGAGTTTTAGACTTGCCATTTTTAGGCAACAGGACAAAGGCACAAGCTGAGCGTCCTACTCGTGGCAAACTTCAAAGATGGTCTTTGGGGAAATCTGGTTCCACTTGAGCATAGGCAGCCTTCCCCCTTCCAGATGGAAACAACCTGAGAGCTCCGTAGTGTTGGTGGATGGAGCGCCATGCTGTCAGATGACCCAGAGGACATGCAGATTACCTGCAGGTGGGCTCAGCCTCAGAATTGGCAGATCAGCAAGGTTTTAATGTGAAGTCTGGGTGATGTTCAGTGAGGTCTTGTGCGTATTCTTCATATGGTATGTGCTGAGAAATAGCTTAATGTTATGAAACAAGGAACCACAAGGAATCAAAGACTGGCTTGGACATGAAGGGTGGTGCTGTGGACTGGTCCCTGCTGTCCTGACTTTTGGCTCTTGTGTAGATATTTTCCCTCATTTGTACCTTAGCTTTATCATAGTTTTTAACATTCAGAAAATTTTGCAATTTTATTTAGACCAAAAATTTAAGCTTTTATTTTGTGCTTGTTTCTGCTTTTATGTCTAAAAACGTTTTCCCATTCCTGAAATAAAATGACTACTTAAATTTATTTTTAATTGTAGACTTAATTGGAAGACAGTGGAATTCTAGTTGGCAGCAAGTGTTTGGAGAAAAAATACACCCCTTAATTAAATCTGGTAGAGTCTTAACCAGATTGTATATCAGAATCACCTGTCTGTCTGAGCTTTGAAAAATTCCCAGTGCCAGGGTCACATCACAGATCCACTGGATAAAATTGTTTTGTAAAAATACCTTACACAAGTCTACAGGTTTACAAAGGGTCCAGTTGTAGATGATTTTTTTTTTCTGTTATTGCTTGATTTACACACTAGCTTTTGTTAGTATAATGGGTATGTTTGTTCATAGTCATTACCATTTGTTAACAATGAAAATTAGAGCACTGTTCTCACTTCCATGTGGGAGAGATTCCAAAACTGTGCACCCAGGAATGGGGGTGCTCCCTGCAAAATTATGCTGTTCTCCAAAAGTACCAGTCTCACAGATGGCATCCTTTGATGTGCCTGTGCTTATTTCTGAGTTCTATAGTTGAGTCTTATTTCTGTCTTATGTGCTACTACACTGTAGCAAGAAGCTTTAAAAAAAACAACCAAAATTTAGAATATATAGTGTATTTATTAATGCTTTATATTTGTATAATATTTTATACCAAAAATCATTGCTCTTTGTTGCAAACAGTAGTGTCTCTTGTGAATTGGCATATGGAACTAGCCGGTTGATTTTTGCAACTTGGGAAAAGAAAGATAAAAAATTGTCATTTATATCTCTGTACAAATCCAACTGTGTTCATCAGTTAAGACTGAAAGCACATTTTCTAGTTTTCTGGCCTGGGGTTTCAGATGTGCTCATTCAAGACTGTATAAGGCAGTTTGCCTGTGAACCAGCTGATTCATTTGAGTGTCAGCTTGGTAAGCAGCATTCTTTCCTGAAGGAGCAGCCAGTGGTCTATAACAGGCAAGAAGGAAGTACGGGCAGACCTTGACTTTGGGCATGTAACATAGATGTCCCTGAACCTCAGAAATGATGAAGTTGATGACGACAGTGACAACTGGCCTCCTCTTCAGGCTGTGGGGGAGTTTACATCTGGAGTGTTTTCCTTTCGTCCCCCACCCTGCCCAAGGCAGATGACTTGAGTGGGGTGTTTCAGTGTGAGGAAGGTGGACAGAGGGTTCCTAAAAGAGGTTCTTTTCTGTTTTTTAGGTCCTCTGATCAGTCTGGGAGAGTTGTTATATACACCCCAAACACAGATAATACAAAGATCCTGACTTACAAAGTGCTAAATTTTGTGTCACAAATGAGAAATTTATTACTTATATGAAAATGTAAAATGAGAGAGGCATTGCTTGAAATAGTTATTACAGTATTTTTATATCATTTTCATGTGAAAAGTACTTAAACCCAGATTTGAGTGCATTTTTGATAATTTCAAAAAGAAGAAAAGGGCCATGTTGCCCAAAACATAAGTATGGTAGCTGAGTGGCTGAGTCTGAGGAAGGGACTGAGCTCTGGCTATGCAAGACACAACCCGCTATAGACTTGGCCATGCAAGACACAACTCAGAGCAGTTTTCCTGGCCATCTTTGTTTGGAGGGCAGTATCCGAGGGTATGACTTGAGCTGAGAGCTGGACTGGAATGCTGAATGGCAGGATATGCCGCGGGGTCCACTAACTCAGCATTCCAGGGCCAGCCAGACTCCCCTCAACCCCAAGCCTGGGGCCTGTTGCTCAAGGTCTCCCTGCCCCTCATTGCCCCCTGCAGGTTGAAGCACTTGCTGGCTGGGTTGTGTGGTCTTTCACACCCCCTTCAGTTCTGGCATTCTATGATGAAAAGCCTATTTATTGATTATTGTGGACCAGAAAAATCCAGAGAGGTTGAAAGATAGCTGGTTGTGATGGCAAACACTGATAATCCCACTGACTTGAGAGGCCGAGGCAGGAGGATGTGAAATTAAAGGTTAGCCTCAGCCACTTAGTGAGACCCTGTCTCAAAATCAAAAATAAAAAGTGCCAGGGAATGTAGCTTAGTAGTATAGCCCCCCTGGGTTCCATGCCCAGATCCCCTCCAGCGGCCAGGAGGTTGTGATAATGGCAGCGCCCTTCTCCAAAAAAAGAAAAGAAAAAAGAAAAAGAAAAACAGAGTCTGAGCTCCTTTCTGGCTGAGGTTCCTTTGGAAGCAAAGCAAAATAAGGTTCATGATCCACCTTACTGATCTTTGTAGGGCAGCACCATGGCCAGCTCCCATCCAACTGGCTAGGTCATAGTTTCACCCAGTTTCCCCATTGCCCCACTTCAGTGACCCCACATCATGTCATGGCTCCAGAGGATCTGGCCTTTCCAGCCAGAGCCCTTATCTCCACCTCCACCCCCCGAAAAAACCCACAAAACCTAGAGGAGGGCGTCTCAGGTCAGTGGGCTGTGATATCAGTTTAATGGCCACAAGACTTCTTAAAGTAAATGAAATAAAATATATCAAAATGCTTCATAGTTAATAAGGGTGATGATTATTTAACAAATTATTCACTTTTATATTCGTAGGTTTGTGTGTGTGTGTGTGTGTGCGCGCACGCATGCTTGCACACTTATTGCAGTGAAAAATGTTTCTCATTCTGAGTTGTAATCAGGAAAAAAAAACATTGGTATGGACTCATAATTCCTTATCTTCAATCCACATTGCAAAAGCTGAAAGAGTTTTTTTAAGCTTGGCACAAAGTCATTTGGCAGCAAAACACAACCTATTGTGATTTAAGGTTATTTATAGTCTTTCTTTAGTGTATTTGTATGCTCAGCTGCAGAAAGGAGTGGTACCTTTGACCCCAGTGGGCATCTTCACCTGATTATTTTTCTAGAGGCAAAGAAACTTTTACTACAGGGGTTTTGCATAAGAGGTTGTGGATCTGCATGAGGAGTGTAACTGTTGTTTATTAGTTCAGCAAACATTCATTGAATGCTGTGAGCTTGGCACTGTACTGGGTGTCAGATGTAGAAGGAAGAAAAGTTAGTGTGAGATGAACTCTTGGAGAACTCAATCTCAAGGGCAGGGTGAACTTGGGACCACCAGAGCTGGGCTTCCACTTCCGATTCTTCCTTTTGGTTAGCTTACCCAGGCCCACAGCTGCAGGACTTTCTCTTCACTTGGCTTCTGCATCTCCCCTTTCCAGCTGTCCTTCAGGGCTTCACACCAGACTTCAGCTCAGTGTTGAAAAACAAACTCCCAGCTGCCTCCTCCCATATTCCTGTGTCCAGTGTTCCCCTCACCTGGGCTCCGCCTTCTCCTGCCTGGCGCTGTCATCCAGTCATTGGAAACTGTTGCTTTCCCCTGGCGGTAGCCTCCTGCCTCTCTCCTTCCCCCTCTCTCAGTGCTCTGTGCTGGTACAGGTGTTCATTATATTCTCCCACACAAAACAGATGGTCTAGAAGGGTGATCAGGCACACAGGGGTGTTGGGGTCATAAAGACCTGGGTTTGAGTTGTGTCTCTTCCCCATTTTACTGAAGGATCTTAGTTTCCCTTCTTGGAAACGGAGTTGGTGATAATTAGTTTGTGTATGAGTTAATTTAGGAATAGAAATGTATCCAGGGCATATGAACACCATAAGCAATGTGAAAAAATAAGTCACATTCTGGGTGCAGATATTTATAGGACCCAGAACTAACAGATTAGTATTTCAAATCTATTAAGAGCTTCTTTCAAACCGATTTTAAAAATACATTTTTTTAAATGGGCAAAAAATATGAACAGGCAATTTCTGAAGAGGAAATCAGAATATCAGTAAGTATGTAAAAAGATATCTGACTTTATTAGCAACTCGGAAAAATCAAATTAAAACAATGACATGCCCGGGGGGTATAACTCTGTGGTACCATGCTGGCCAGTTTGACCCTCAGCATTTTAAAAAAACAACAACAACAATTTACCTGTCATATGGCACAAAGTGTAGCCAGTATGTCAAGCAAAGATCATTTGCTTGGCATGTTGCTGGTGGGTGTGTAAACTGGCTCACACTGTGTTTTAAAGCAGTTGGCAATATCCAATAAAGCAGAAGCTGTGTATACACCGGCCACCCAGCAATTCCATCGCCAGGAATATCCTTCGCAGCATTGTTTTTAGTGGCAAAAGCATTAGAAATAAAAATGTCTCATAAAGGGAGACTGGGTTGATTGTAGATATTCATTTAATGAAATGCAATAGAGTTATTAAATAAATTAAAAGCTTCATTTGTATCATCATGTATAATTCTTGAAAAAAAGCAAACTACAAAAGTGGCTGCCCCAGGAAGGGGCATGGAGAAGCTTCAGTTGCATGTAAAACGATTTATATCTCAAGAAAAAATAAGCTATGAATATGAAATGTTAACATTGGACAGAGATGGGTGGGTAGTTATATAAGTGACCCTCATGTCATTGCTTTTACCCTTCTATGTCTGAAATGCTTTATTTCTGGAAAGCAGTTGGTGGCGTACAGTAAGTACTGCTTCTCCATTCAGAAGGCTTCTACAATGTCCATTTTCCTGAATTGAGTTCCAGTCAGCCAGTCTGGCAATCCAGTTCACATCAAATCTAAATTTCTGGTAAGGAGCTCAGGACCCTCTACTCCCTGACTCCAGCCTCCATTCCTAGCCTTGCCCTCCCATGCTTCCCTTGAGGAACCTTTATAGGGTGCCAAGTCATGCATGGCCTGCGGGGTTTCTGTGGCTAGAATCTCCTCCTTCCTTTCCTCTGACTATGCAAACATGACCCTCCCCCCCCCTTTCAGGGCCTATTAAAATGTTGCCCCATTCTCCTTTCTACCCACCCACCTACTACCTATGTACTCAGTGTTCTGTCCACCCATTCACCTATCCGCCCACCCACCTACCCTTCTTTCTGTCCATCTGTCCATCTATTTATTGAGCCTCTTCAAAGCTTAAGGCATATATAACCTACCCTGATTGGCCCTGCCAGAAATAATCACAGTTTCCACAAAAATCCTTGTATTGATGTAAGTCTCCAGCATGGAATTGATCACACTAGAGTTCGTTCATTTCCTCTTGCTAGACTAAGTATTGAAGGGCAGTTACCATTCCATTCATTTTTAATGAACTGTTCTTTCAGGAGCTCATTAAATATTGGCTGAAGAAATAAACGAGTCTCAGATCGTGTGTCCAAAACATTGAAATCAATGTTAAGATTAGGGTTTAATCCTCATTCGAAATTGAATACTTGGTGTCTTTAGCTCCTTGATTTTCATAGGCGGGCCACACACTCCCTTTTGTCTCTGATACCTGAAGGATTCCTGATTCGCCATTCTGCCTCACGTTTGCTGAGAATCCAGATGCCCAAGCATCAGGCATGATTTTGCCTCTCTAGGGACTTTGCACCTGGTTGGAGAGCGAAGGGTGTGCCACAGGAGAGTAGCAGCATGACAGAGCAGGTAAGGTCTGAGCCAGTGAGTGACCTTGGCCTCTTGACCTGAAGTCATCGTGGGGAGCAGCTTGGTACTTGCCTGACTGTGTTAAGACTGGTTTTGAGAGATTCATTCTTGTTTGAGAGGATGTGGGTCAAAATTATCATTTTATGTCAGATGGGTTTCTGTAAAATCCTTTTCTCTTTTTGGCACAAGTAGATCCTTAACAGCATCTCTCTTATGTGTAAGCTGATACGCAGGTACAGATTTGAAGATGTCTTCTGATACGCAGTTTTATGAGGTGTGAGCCTGAAGTAGCTTTCTGACTTTGACACTGAAGGGGATTTTCTTTCAAACAGGTGTGTGTCTGAGTTCTAGAGCTGCTGGCTTTCCCCGCATCTTTTCCCCTCCAGTACACCCCTGGAGCCATTTCCAGCACCCAGTCATGGGTTGTCTGTTTTAACAGCTTTTCCTTGTTTGGGTCAGCTTCTTGAAAATTTTGGGTTGGAAGGGGTCTATATAATATGATGCCACTCTTTCCAGGACAGAGGTACTTTACCTCTGCCTTTACCTCTCTCCTGAAGCATTTCTAGCCAGCGAGAGTCATTGGTGATGGCTTTTTTGTGTGAAATGGGATGTTCACAAACCTGTGAACATCTAAAGGCAGCAGGTGGGTTGGGCTCGCTACAGAAGGGATCCACATAGTGTTCCAGGAAGACCCCAAATCCCCTGGAAGGTTCAGTCTGCTGGCAGATCTCAGTCTTATGGAGCAGTGAGTTTATTCCAACTTCCTTTGCGCTCTGGCACTGTTGGGGTATTGCCTTCAGGAATGTTGACCATATTCCTTGGGGATCATTGTGAGTGGCATCTCTTAGTCTCCTGTGCAGCAAATAATAGCATCCAGTTCTGGCTGGCTGCATGTGGGGAAGGGGTGGGAAGAATGAGCCCTGAAGGCATAGGGAGAATTTGGGGTCCCACGTACAGGTTGGACTGGAGACCAGGTGACTAGGAGGAGGCAGCAGGTAAAGTCCCTGTAATGAGATGGTATACTGTGTCCCTGGACCCTCTAGACATCCCGAGACCTGGCCAGTGCCTCTTATTGGCCCAGTGAGAGCCTCATGTTGTCCCCTCTGGATAAAGGACAGAGCAGGAGGGTCTGGGGCTTTCCTCTTCCAGATGTACAGGAAGAGGAATTGCCCTGCTGGGGCTGAGGGCCAGCGATGGGGAGCTGGTTACTAGACAGCCATAAAAGCAGCCGGGATCACAACTGGTGAGGAAATCCTGACGTCACCATGTTGAATGTTAAGACTTTATCAAACATAAGCTTCATGCCTGTTTTGGTGGCTGGGGAGGTAAATGTGAGTTAGTAATGGAACCAGCGTCAGCAGAGGTCCTGGCTAATAGGGCCCAAGGATCTCATGCCACAGTGAGGCTGGAGCTGGCTTGAAAGGGATGTTTCCAAGGACAATCCAGTTCCTCCATGACCACAGGCTCCTCCTTTCTAGGACACAGCCTCCTGTTCCTGAGCAATTGAGAAGCACAGCAAACATGGTTCAAGTTTATGTCAGCATGAGCTTCACAATGCCAAGGGCAGGTGTGTCTGCATTTGGGATATGTGGGTGTGACAGAACCTCGGAGCTGCATGCCACCCAGCCCCTCAGTTCTGCAGCAGGTACCTTGGCTATGGAGCCCCTCCCTCAGCTGGGCATTTCCACTACACCCTCTTGTCACCCTGTTTCCTTCCTACTTGGGCTTCCCTCTCCACCCACCTTGCTCCTTCCTACCCTGGCCGTGCATTCCTTCCTGGGATCTCCAGGTATTTGATTCAACAACAGAGAGGTCTTCAGGAGGGGAAGGACAGTGACTTGGGTTCTAGAAAGAATCTAGGTCCCCAGTCTTGACAGTTTATGGACTGTGAAGTGAATAGCAGGTGCACTGTTCACCAGCACTGTTATTTAAAGGCCACAATTGTAAATACAACAGCTGAAAAGCTGCAAGTAACGGATCCACAGCCAGTGCAGAACTGGGAGCGGGAGCTGTTGCTGGATCACTGACGTCCACGGTGCCTGTGGATGAAGTGCCTTTAATCCCATTCCAGTGTGTTACAGGATTGGGTAAGAAGAGAGGAGGTGAGCTCTCCAGAAAGATTAGAGTGTACGAGAGTTCAGATCCTGAAATGGAGTGGGGTGAGGGAGCCCAGGAGAGAGAGTGAAGAGGGGAGTTTGGGCCCATGGGTTCTGCTTGCCCACACCCCAGCCCTAGAGAGAAGGCAGAGGTCTGTGAGAAGCCATCTCAGCTTTTGAGAAACTAGACACTGAGCCATTCCCAGGCAATCCCTAAAAGGGGCTGGACTGATCCCTGCAGGACAGCACTGGCCAGGTGGCCTCTGAGGCCTCTATTCAGTCTTTTCAGAGGATGCTGGTGGCAACCATGCCACTGCCTCTATTAACAGCAGTCCAAGACTCTGTGCCTACTTTTTATTTGAAGTCTCCATTCACTGAAGAGGCAGCAGAATCTAGCAAAGAGACACTGTCAGTGGGACGCTGGAGACCTGGATTACATTCCGGCCTCTGCTGGGGAGTGGCTTTGTAGCTGAAGTAAGTCACTTAACCTCACAGCGATTCTTTCTAGTTTGTACAGCTTGACTTATTGTTATTGAAAGCTTTCTATTCCTGACACTTCAGACTTGTCTGGTGTTGCCTTCACGTGGGCTGGGTCTGGTAGAGTGTGTCCAGTAGGGTGTTTTCAATGACTACAATGGTAAACGACCAGAAGAGCACCTCAGACTTAAAGCTAACCACTGCTGCAGGCTGCTGCTTATTATAAACAATGGTAATTGTCATTGCCTGAGCACCTACTATGTGCCGGGCACATCTGCAGCCAGGGCTTCAGACTGGGTCTCATTAATCCTTTGACTTCCAGGACATCTGCAGTGTGATTTTCCTGTTTCAAATAACCGATTTATATATAAGTGACCCTTCATGTGCCGGTGGCCAGTGCATTCACAAGAGGCTGAATTAGGGATAGGAATTATTTTTAAAGAAATCTTTCTCTTCTAAAAACATCGATTTCTGATTCTATTCTTCTCATGAGGACCTGTGGGCAACTGGGAGTGTCCCCTAGGGCACCCAGAGCACCTCCCAGGGAGAAGATGCTTATTCTTCAACTAAGAAGCTTTGAATTAGAGGTAGTGTAAGAATTGTATGGGAGCCTTGTGAAAATGCAGACTCCTGGGCCCACTTGGAACCTGCCCGTTTGGTTCCATGGCCACCCAGGCCTGGTCAGAAGAGAATGAATGAACTAGGAGCCCAGTCTATAGGCCAGGCACACTTTCTTGGGTCCCATAGTGGGTGATTTCCCTCCCTGGTGTTCCCCATCTTTAGCCATCCCCCATTCCCTGCTCCTGTCCAACATTATTTATTCCTCAGGCTATTTGGTAATCCCATCTGTAAAGTGAGGAGAACTAGCTTTCCCAGATGGGTGAGATTGGCATGAGGATTAACACAACCGTTACACACATGCACACACCTTTTATGTCTGACCTCTGACAAACACCTGCTTAGCACTCGGCCAGGCTTCCTATAGGGGCCTTTGGGAACTTTGAAAGCAGGACCCTGCTACCCAGCACCTGGCCCTCAGAGCAGAGACACCCCAGGAATACCTGCTGAAGGAGAGAATGAACCTGACTTTTCACCAGAGATCTGGAAACAACCCTGCTCTTGATGACCACCAGGCAGGGAGACCAGCCAAAGGTGAGAGGAGGCAGCTGATGCCAATGTCTTGCTTTGGAGTCTCAGAGGTTGGGCTTAGCCCAGTTATAGACAGACAGAAGAGAGCTTTCTGTGGATGGCATTATTCAACAGATGCCCAGAGCTCTTTCCCAGGAGGAAGCTGGGTTTTCTTAGGAGCTGACCAGTTGCAAATGTGTAGGAAGACAAAAGATGTTCGAGTCCCCCATCCATTGTGTGCATAACCTGTCCCTTTGCTCCCAACTGGCAGCAGTCCCAGACTGACACAGAAGAGAACCCAGAACCTTTTCTGAGTCTTGGGAAATAGCTGAAGTGTTCTGGCAAGTGCCTCTTTGTAGAAAGGAAAAAATAGATCCCACACGTTAACTCTGAAAGCTGGTGAAGCCTGGTAACTTACTTCAAACAGACTTGAACTGAATAAGGAACATGCCAGGCTAGTGGGTGGAGCTCTAAATTTACACCTTAATCTCATCATTAAGAGCGGATAAGATGTTTCATTAGCGATAGGTGCTATGTAAATATGAAGCACTTTCTGAATAAATATTTTCCTTTTTTCCCCTTCCAAAATTAGGATATAGTCTACAGAAAATACTGCAATTCTTAGACACAGGAGAGCTTTATTTTGAGAGTTTATTTTAAAATGGCAATATAAATCATCTAAATTCTGGATCCAGCCTGGAAGCCACATACAATACAGTAGCTCCTACATGTGCACAAGAAAGGCAATCTCAATGGAGGCATCATGGCAATGGCCCTGTGCTTCCTCAGAGTGTCCACAGCTGGTGCTCAGAACAGATCTCCAACTCTCTTGGTTTGGCAAATATTGATGGTCAAAGTCATAGTCTAATGAGGTCACCAAGCACTGTTTGTGGATGAACAGTACCATGGGAAGTCAGATCTGGAAGGTACCAGGCAATCACTCTGGGCAACCTAGTGTGTATTTATGTAATCTGAAGCTTAGAGGGGAGATGGAACAGAGACAGGGCTGGAAGCAGGACCAAGGGACCCCATTGAGGATCCCTTTCTCTCTGGATTCCTTAATCATTTTTCTTTTGGTGGTATTTATCAGAAAAATGGTATGAAGGGAATTAAAAAATGTAATCTCCCTATCTCCAGGGCTTTATTTATTTATTTATGCATTCTCTTAAAAAATTTAAAATATATGTAGTTCTAATCATAGTGAGCATACTCTTCTGTGTTCTCCTTCTTAATTAATATAATCAAATCACTTCCTGCCATGGTTGGTTGCATGCTTTTCAGGATCACTGTTATGACAGCTCATCAGAGCTCTCCTTGCTAACAAGCACCGCCTTCTTGTGGACATTTAGGTCGCTTTCACATTTGTTGCTTTTACATATAATGCTGGAACGAACACCTCAATGCACTTGAGTTTTTTCTCATTGAACTAGCAGCTTATCCTCTCTTCACCAAACCATTCCCAAGAGAAACCCCGCCAACCCCACCCAGCCCAGGTGGAGTTTGGCTTTCTGGCTGACAGGTGGATAGGGAAGCTTGCCACTGAGGCTAGGGATGAATAGCCCAGTGGGGAGTGTAGAGAAAGTAATTAAAGCCTGATTCCAAATATAGGTGTCAGGGCCTGTCGCATCCCACAGAGGACATCCGCATGAGGGCGCAGTGATGACTTCTTGGGGCAGGTGGCTCCCTGCTGGCCTTTAGGCTCTGCCACCCCAGAGCCTTCAGGAGAGTGGAAGAATGGTCTGGCAAGCCAGCTCACAGGAAGCTAAGGGGACAGGGCACTCCCTCGATCCTGCACTCACAGTCCTTGAGCTACAAGTGGGCAGTGGGTGGCTGTGCTCATCCTCGGGCGCTGTGCTGGATGAGGACAACTGCACAGCTGCAGAGCACACAGGATACTGAGAAGGAGATCTTGAGAGGTATTATTCTGTAGACACAGCCCCCAAGTTCAGAGGAGTCTCAAAGGACCAGAGTCCCCACGGCAGGAGGGTTCTTAGCAGGTCAGGTCCTGCCCATTGCTGTAGAAATGGCTGGCAGAGGCAGCAGGACAGCGGCGAGCCTCAGCCAGGGCAGCAGGACAGACACTCCCTCCGCCCAGGCTGGCTTGCTTGCATTGTAGAACGCTGCAAATGCCCACTTTGAGTATGGAAGTGTGGACGCCGGAGGCCTCTGCTAGGACTCCATGTGCTGGCTCTTTAGCTCCTCTTCAGTCCTTGAACACAGGTGTCAGAGTGGCCACGGTGCACAGTCCCCTGTCCCCTACTCAAGAAGATGGTGAAAGGAAAGCCACAGGATCCTTGTGTCCCAGACCAGAGCAGCGAGGAAGCAGAGGGCTGGCTTTGGGACGCTTTTGGAACACAGAACCTGTCCTTTACCTTCTCTAGGAGGCAGACTGACACCTCCCAATTCCAGCTCAGATTTTAAGATTTACCAGCCATCCTACCCAAGCCCCTTCTGACCTTGACTGGTCCTTGCTCTTGCATCTGTAATGGGGTACAGAGTGACCACATACTATCTCAGTGCCATGCAGACTTTGCAGAATATTCCAGGCCACAGTTATTAACAGGACCTTCTGGAGTGGAATTGGGCTTTGTACATGCAGGACAGGTGGTTTGCCCACCATTTCTTGCCTCAGAGCTGAAGTCGTCTCCTGGAATTTCCCATACACAGGTCCCTTATCCTGTTGGCAAGACCGGAAGTGCTCCAGACTTGCTTCTGGTGCCCTCTGCCTGTGTTCCCTTCCAGGCCCAGCAGAGAGGCCAGGCAGAGGCAGCCCCCAGTGGGAACAGCACCGTGAACAGCCATCACCTCTGCCCACTTGGCATCCAGTTCCTCCCCAGGGGGCAAGAACGATTTGCTTTTGTTACCTTTGATAGATGACAGGGCAGCATCCTAAGTGACCCTGGGGGAAGCAGTGGAATGTCCAGAGCTTCCTGATGACTTTTGCAGAGTAAACCCCTCCTTATTGGTACACCCCGAATCTTCCCTCTCTCCACTGCACCCACAGAGATGATTCTTGAGTATAACTCCTTTAATTGTAAGTTTCTCTAACAGCTTGATGGCCAGAACGTGGAGTAGGGAGAATCCTGGCTAAGGCACATTACCTCCAAGAACTTGTCTGAACCTGCCAGCGTGGGAATTTCCCGACAGGCAACAGCCCTAGGAGAGGAAGCAAGGCAGATGCATTTAATTTCTCGATTAAAATGAATTAAATGGCCACATTTTGATGTGTGATCAAATCATATTTGAAATATGCTAGGCCAAATATATTTGTGATGAACTGCTGTGCAGATAATGGAAATCATTTCAATAAAATTCTCATCTATGCTAACACCTTAATCAAGGGATAACCTATTTGACATTGGATCACAGATAACTGTGTAATTCTGCCCCTGCAGGAATAGATTTATTCCATTTGAGTGATTAATGCATTAGGAAGCCGAGGTCATGCTAAAGTTAAAATCTGTCTTCTAAATTTCTCTGACATCTTCCGGTTTTCAGTGGGAGCATGATTTTAATGCTATTCTTAATAATCTGTATTTTTCTCAAAATCTGGACTTACTTTCATCAACACTGTGCTGTTTTGAGGCAGGAATCCCAGGAAGTGTGTGGGGGAGTGCGCTGCCTTTGCTGTTCCCTAGAAGAGTGACAGTTTGCTGTTGCCTGAAGTTTGTGGTTCTGACCCAGCTTCGTCCCAGACGACTAGGTGCTGCTCACTTCTTCATGGTTCACTACTGTTTCTGTGTCCCACATGTTTTTTATTGTGTTTTTCTACCTACCTTATTCTGTGACCCTCAGTGTCCTTCTGTGTAAAGGGAAGTGATCATACCCATTTTCCTTTCCAGAGAAGTTGGTAACTCAAATGGATAGACAGTATGCGGAGCAGCCTGTGTGAACTGCAGACTGTGACTCCAGACACAGTCACTCTGGTGTCATTGTGTTCCAACAAGCTTGTACCCTTTTTGTAGGCAGGGGCTGTCTGCTGCAAACCCTGGATAATTTCGTGGCATGAGCCAGTGCTCAGCAGAGACTTCCTTGTCAACCCGCTGGACAGAGTGGGTTGTAGAGATGTATCTGAAGACCAGTTGGGGGAGGGGGGTGCCCAGCCTATCACCATGATGAGCTGGACAGTCTCCAAGCAGTGGCAAGAGTTGACTTTACCTTTCGCAAGTCTTCATTATTACATTGTGCTGTTCTGAGAAAAATAAATAGATAAGTAGTTAAATTGCTAAAATGAGCCTGATCATCACATCACAGAATTGGAGAAGATAACCTCTTGATATGTAATCTCTTTTCTCTCCTTCCTCACTCTCCTAAAATCTGTCCTTTCCTACTAAGAGACAAATCCCTCCTTGTCTGGGCTGTAGCTTGGACACATTGTATGAGAGTGCTCTCTTGTTGGTTTGCTTGTAAGCTATCTGATGGTGAGTACTCCATGACTGGAGAGGCTCAGGCAAAAAAAACAAGAAGTACACAATTAAAATATTCAATTAAAAAAAGCAAGTGGCCGGGCATGGTGGTGCATGCCTATAATCCCAGTGGCTTGGGAGGCTGAGGCAGGAGGATCACAAGTTCAAAGCCAGCCTCAGCAAGAGTGAGGTGCTAAGCAACTCAGTGAGACCCTGTCTCTAAATAAAATACAAAATAGGGCTGGGGGTGTGGCTCAGTGCTTGTGCGCCTGAGTTCAATCCCTGGAACCCTCCCCCAACAAAAAAGCAACTGGGCATTTTTTGCCTTTTGATGGTGGGCAGAGGTGGTCTCTGCAAACAGTTTAGAGTATCGCCCACTTGTGGAGGATGCTGGTATCCAACAGACACTCTTGTCCAGGGATATTTGGGGGACCTTTTGTAATAATTCATTTTTTGCCTTTACTTATTTATTTTCTACAATTATCTGGCCTTTGTAACAAAATTCCAAGAAATGGAAAAGTAAATCTATATATTCTCTCCTTTCTTCCATGCCCCTGTTCCTGGCTCCAGCAGCTCCACTTTCCAGAAGTGAAAGCTACTAGCAATTGGTGTGGTCCAGACTTCTAAGCTATTTTATGTGGTCACTTAATCAGTCTCACATACAGATACACAGATTTAGTGTGACCACAGTGTGATGGTAGGGGACAGTGTCCCCTTTCTCTCCACTGTTCTTGGCATGCCAAGACCCTCCTGTGGATTCTCAAGGCCAGCTGTGAGGCCCTGGAGACCAGCCTTCCTGACCCTGGGGTCAGCCTCCGTGAATCGCTCCAGAGTCCTGTGGCCCCAGGAAGGCAGTCAGGATACCCCACCGCACCCCGAGGAGCCTCAGTGCACTTTTTGCCACACATCATCCCTCCCTCAGAACTTGAAGGTTCTATACCCCAAGGTTTCTGGCCCCAAGAAGCAGCCTTCCCTCCCCCAGGGCCAACAGCGGGTAGGATCCTGTGCAGGGACGGGCAGAGCCAGCCTGAATGTGGGTCTGCATCCTGGAGACAGTTTTCTAAGCTGTGTCGCCTTGGCCCAGTGACCGGCACTCTCTGGCCCTCATTTTCTCATCTGTAAAATAGTGATGCCATCCCTAGGCTCCCGGTGCTGACACGCTAACAACGCCAGTCAAGTCCCCAGCAATGTGGTGGGAACTCCACAAGTGTCCATTCTCCTTTCCCTCTGGAACCCTCCTCTACTTTATCCTGCCAGATGAAATTTTAAATATAGGTCTGTCTTCCCAGTCGACTCAATGAGACTCCATAAATCCTCGAGTGAGGTACCAGGAGGGCTGGCAGTGGTTCCTGAGAGCGCACTCAGCACGTGCAGGCTGGTTTGGTACTACTGCACATCTGCCCACCCAGGCCAGCGCAGGGCCCGGCCAGGTGAACGCTGAAGGCTGCTTCCTGCCATAGCTCTCTCCCTGTCATCCCCTGGGGTCCCTGTTCTGAGGAGCACGTGAGGGGTCCCCCTCCTACAGCGGCAGCGGCAGACTGCACTCGCGCTGACACAGATTGGAGCGGTTGCCATGGGGACGGAGTCTGTAACCAGATGCATCCTTGGAGCTATGAGGTAGAATGGGGCTTCTCCCCAGAGAGATGGGGGTTCTGTTTTATAGAGAGGCTCAGAGGAAAGAGCCACAGGCTCCTTCTGTGGCTGTTCCTTGACTCCCGAGGTGCTCTCCTGGAGATTGATGGTCTGTGCCTGTGGGTCCTGCCTGGTGCACCTAGAGTGCTGGGTCCTCACCCACCCCCAGAGCTGCCGATTTCCCCAGGCTGTCCCAGGCTACAGTGTGGATGGAGAGGGACTATTCATGCAGGTCCCCTGTCCCAACACTTGGAGTCATGCATAAGGGAGGTGGCCTTACTGGGATCTCCCGTGTGCTGGGCCTCCAAGCTCGGGACCATGTCTGACCCTTGTGGCACGCCCAGGAGGAGCCATGAGTCCTGTGCTTCCTGGGTGGTAAAGCAACTTGCCCAAGGCCACCAGGGGAGGAGACGTGCTGAGGCCAGCTGGTGCAGTGGTGCAGCTGGAGACAGCTCTGCACACACAGGACAGATGAGGGGATCAGACTGTATTGTAAAGGCCTGGACCTGCCGGCCACCTCATGAGAGTTCCAGCAGGGATGGGCAGCTTCCGCCTCCCTCTGCCCCCCACCAGCGCCCCAGCTTCCAGGCATGGGGCCATGGGATGCTCCAGTGGCTCGAGCTTCGTCCAGGAGCAGCCCGTTGCCTCCTCATTGGGCCTGGCGTGCAGCCTGCTGTCGGTCTCTCTGTGGGCACAGACCCTGAGTTCCATGGGCTCCCCCGCTTCAGAGCTCATCCCACATCGCATCTCTGCTGTCTCTCCTCCAGCCTGGGATTGGCATGGCTCTGGTGTGGATCACACGGTCAGAGAATATTTGTTGATGGAGTGAAGATCTCCTCTGTTAGACATGCTCTTGAGGACAGGACCTGGGATTCAATAATCACCTCCGTTTCTTTCTCCATCCCCCACACCCGGCAGAGTGCCTGGTACATGGCCAGAGCCCAGGTGGTGATTGATTAGATAAATGGATAAATGAATGAATCATGAGCCTGAAGTCTCCATGAGCTCAGAGTAGGGCAGGGCAGTACTGCAGGGTACATCTTTTTTTTTTTTTTTTAATTTTTTTTTTAGAGAGAGAGAGAGAGAATTTTTTTAATATTTATTTTTTAGTTTTCAGTGGACACAACATCTTTGTTTGTATGTGGTGCTGAGGATTCAACCCGGGCTGCACGCATGCCAGGCGAGCGCGCTACCGCTTGAGCCACATCCCCAGCCCCTGCAGGGTACATCTTGCTGCCACATCATCATTGTCACCAAATTCAGCAGTTGCCACAGACTGGACAGTGGGAGTGGGGTTTGGGGGTGGGGAGAGGGGACCCTGAGGTAGAGGGATAGGTTTGAGCATAGCTTCTGCTGCTCCATGTGTCCTAGCTCCCTAGTTCCCACTTTCCCAAGAACCACCCAAACCTCCTTTTAAGAGTCTTACCTTGGCTGGGCACAGTGGTGCATGCCTGTAATCCCAGCAGCTTGGGAGGCCGAGGCAGGAGAATTGCAAATTCAAGGCCAGCTTCAGCAACCTAGCAAAATCTTGTCTCAAAATAAAAAATAAAAAGGGCTGGGGATGTGGCTCAATGGTTCAATCTCCAGTGTCAAAAAAATAAAGACAAAAACAATGTCTTACCTACCTGCTTAAATGCCTTCAGCAACTAACACTTCCTAGCCATCCACCACGTCACCCAAATCTGTGTTTCCACAGTTTTGTTTTTAGTTCTCGTCTTCACACCAGCTGCACAGACCACTGGGTGTTCTTTGTCTGGCTTTTTCCTTGGTGTATTCTAGAATTACTGCCTGGATTCCCATCCTAAAGAGGGGCAATAGGGTCCTGGGCTCTGCGCCTGGACTGGACCGTCTGCCTCCAGGGCTGTGGCTGCATTCTGGACTTCTGTGCTCTATCCTGCTTCCTCTCAGTCTGCCAAAGGCCCCTGCACAGCTTCTTGGCAAAGTTTTCCACTCCTTAATCTATTTGCACAACCTGTGATTGAACTATGTGCAGTGCAGGTATCAGAATCCAGTGGCATCTTTTAATTTTGTATTATTGATGAAAATTTTTGGTCTGGAAAGAAAAACTGGCCTCGGGATTGATTTTCATCATTTTAATTCATCTTTGATATTGATTGGTGCATATGTTACAGCTGAAGACAATCTGGGCTGTTTCAGATGAACACGGAACGTTTACCAGAGTGTCTGAGTTCAGGGCACTGTCCTAGGACCGTGTCACCTCAGGGCACATCCCACTGTGCCTTTGACAGCAGTCCTTCAGGTATGATCCCCACTCCCCACCCCCCGCTGACCCTCCAGCATTTGAGCGTGAATTCTTTGTGGACAAGATGTGTCTCTGAAATAATCTCTATAAATAACTGCACAGAGTGAGCGCAGTGCTAGCACCTATGTGACTCTGAAGCACAACTCCAGGGCTCACCGCAGCCCTGAGTTATTGCTTGCCGGGTGGGATTGTGCATGTGATCCTGAATCCCATAGTGCTAGGATTCTGAGGAAGATTCTGGATCTTGGTCACATGAGCTAACCAGCCATTACCCTTCCCAGGAAAATATGGTTAGGAATCTAATTTTGGAATATGTTACCCTCAGGTTCCTTTGGATGTTGGGGCAACTTTGGCAGGTAACCCCTAGTACAGTTCAGACAGGCTGGCCACAGATGTCCAGCCCTCTGGCCACCTGGACACACTTGTTGCCTGTTGAGGGTGGCCTGTGCTTTCTCCACCCAGTGTCCAGGGGCACCGTGGGGAACTGAGCTGGGGCACAGGAGACTGGGGCCCATGGCTCCACCTGTGTAAGATGCATGACCTTGAGCAAGTGCCAATTCTGTCTTAGCATCTGGACTCCTGTTTGAAATGTGGCCATTGAAAGGAGCCCTGCTGCCTCTCCAGGGATTGGACTAGCTCACAGAAGGGCAGATGAGAGGGCAGTGCTGCCTGTGAAGGTTATGTGCTACCTCGAGTCAGCAGCTGACTGGGGCCAGAGTGTCAGCTAGGGACGCAGCCAGCAGAGCTCATTGCCACTGGGGAAGTGCATCCTGGGTTCAAATAATTAATATTAAACTGGCTTTGGACACATTGTATTTAAAACTTGTATGTTTTCTCTGTGTCAATTGTGACAATGTCTGTCTTGTTGTACTAGATTTTAAGCTTTTTATTTAGAGGGTGAGAGGGAGCAGATGCTTGATCTGGTTGAGTTCCATGGCCTCATGCATACATTCAGGGGACATGGTGTTGGTAAAGGAAACATGAGTGAAAGAGAGGACGTGTGTGTGGATCGTTCCCCAGGGGAGATAGGGAGTGCTGGGCCACCTTACAGTTCTTTCCTGAGTCCCATCTTGACCCTGGACCTCGTATTAGTGTGCTTCAATAAAATGAATTTATCTTTTTCATAGTTCTAGAAGCTGGAGTCCAAGATTAAGGCATGGACAGGCCTCTGCCATGATTTAGGTATGAGGTGTCTCCCAAAAGCTCATGTATGAGACAGTGCAAGAAGGTTTGGAGGTGCAATGATCTGCTGATACAGATTAGCTGGGTGTAACTGTAGGTAGGTGGGGTCTGGCTGGAGGAGCCGGGTCACTGGGGGTGTGCCTTTGGGGTATGTATTTTGTCCCTGACGAGCAGAGCCCTCCCTCTGCTTCCTGGTTGCTATATCTTGAGCTGCTTTCCTTTGCCATGAAGTTCTGCCTCACTTCAGGCCCAGATGGAGTAGGCAGTCTATGGACTGGGACCTCTGAAACTGTGAACCCCAAATATACTTTTTCTCCCCTATATTGCTCTTGTTAGGTCTTTTGGTCACAGCAGCAAACAAACAAAAATCCCAACTAAAACAGCCTCTCTCCTTGCCTTACGGATGGCTGTCTCTTCACAGTGTCCCCACAAGGTCCTCTCTCTGAGTGTCTCTGTTCTAATCTCCTTTTCTTATACAGACATCAGTCAGCTTATATCAGGGGCCATTTAACCTCATGTTACCTAATTACCTTTTTTTTTTTTTTTAGGAGAGAGAGAGAATTTTTAATGTTTATTTTTTATTTATTGGCGGACATAACATCTTTGTATGTGGTACTGAGGATCGAACCCGGGCCACACGCATGCCAGGCGAGCGCGCTACCGCTTGAGCCACATCCCCAGCCCCCCTAATTACCTTTTTAAGGGCTTGTCTCCAAATGCAGCCAGGTGCTGAGGCCTGGGGTTGAGACTAACCTGGGTCTTGGAGATCCACAGTTCCCCTGTAACCACGCTTGTTCTGTGTCTGTAATATTCCTCAGCACTTCCAGGACACTGCAGATGGGGAGCACACAGCTGTGGGAAGGTGGACCTCCCCTCTGAGGACCTGTGTGCCTCTTGCAGCATCCTGCAACCAGGGCCCAGCTTTGAGAATGGGCCCGGGTATCCATGAACAAGCCTTCACTTTCCCATGATCCTGCTCCAGGAATGCAACCAACCTGCCAGGAAGAGGTGGCCACCCACGTGTGTCCCAAAGCCTTGCCCTGTGAGCTAGTGACTGGGGAGCCTGTGCTCCTATAGGACTCCTGGCCTCCTGCTGTCAGGAGCAGGGTGCTGTTCTGTGGAGTCTTTCCCAGGAGGAAGCGTTGTGGGTGGGGGCTATTTGCATGCAGAAGAGAAGCCACACTGCCCCTCGCCAAGTCCCCACAAGTGCGTGGGCAAGAGGTCCCAGGCTGTACCACTCAGGGTTGCTGGAGGCTGCCAATCCCTGCTGAGGCTGCTGGAGAGAGGGAGGAAGAAGGCACTGTGAGGCAGGGAACAGGAGGACTTCAGCAGATGGCAGGGCACAGAGGGCAAGAACACGCGAGAAATGGCACGAGGAGGGTCGGCACCACGAGCGGCGGTGTCAGGGCACTAGTGGCAGCTGGCAGGGTCGTTCCTCATGTGGGGACTGTTGTTCACTAAGGGGTATGAAGCCAGCCCAGCCCCCACCACCATGTGCCAGGAATGCCCCTCTCAGGCCTCAGGACAACCCGAGCCTCCCACGCATCTCCAGTGCCAGGCTGCCTCTGGCGGAAGGCGGCCATGAGGCCTCTTCATCTGTGACAGTTCGGACTGGTAAAGCGGCAGAGCCCCTCCTGGCAGAGCCAAGGACGGCCCTAGGGCATTCAGCCTGCCATACTCTGAGAGCACAAAGAGCAGACGGACTAGACGAGGCTGTTCAGATGCAGCAGTTTTTCCAAATTGACAAACTGCCGTGGAGGCAGGCACTGAGGCAGGCACTGGAGACACAGCAGAAGGAGAACTTGACCCTGGAGCTCGGAGGCCAGGTGCTCAGAATCCATCAAGGAACAGACAAGCAGCAGACAGACGCACAGCCTTGCAGTACAGGGTCAAAAGTGCAGCCATGAGTGTATCACCTAGTGGAGGGCAGCTGTGGTGCTAGGGCCCCGTGGCTCAGTGGCGCAGGCCCATAGCACGTACTCGCTTGGGTGGCTCCCCTCCCAGGCGTGCCTCATCTCTGCCATTGCCACCTGCAGCCAGCTGGCAGGTGGGGCACGAGAGAGGGGACAGGCCTGTCCATACACAGTAATCAGCTTTTTATTCTGGAAGAATTTTAGAACAATAGAGTTCACTTATTCCCTGTGCCTGCTTTCCTAACAGTAGCACCCTGCGGTGACGTGGTGTGCTTGTTACCACTGCGAGAACAGCATTGGGCCACCGCTGTTAACTGAACTCTAAACCGTATTTGGACTCAGTGGTTTTCACAGTCATTAGTTCTAGGATCCAATCTGGGATCCATGTCTGCCTCTTCTCTTGAATGTGGGACCGACTACATGGACTCTGGTCCCACTCTCTGCACCCAGCCATGTGGCCACTTTCTGCTCTTTGGAAGTTCTGGGGAGCTGGGGCCCAGGAAGAAAAGGAAACTGACTGCTGGCAAACTGCCAACCCTACCTCCATAAGCATGTACAAGAAGAGAAGCACAGGGCCAGCGTGATGGGGGACTGTCACACACCTTCAAAGAAACATCTGCCATCGCGTGGTCTGTAAGACAGTTCCGCTGTGTCGGATGTAGTTAAGAAGCCCAGCAGCCCATCTAGAAT